TTTTTTTTGAATTTAAACGCACTTTGAAAATCACCAAAACTACAAGATGCTCCCTGATCACTAAGCGTTTGAGTTGAGTTCATCATGCTCTGTTTCCACATCAGATCCCTATGGGGTCAGAATTGGGCCTTTTAGCTGAGTTCATGCAATCCATGTTAGATTCAAGGTTTCGGGGCCCTGAGACATAAGGACAAGAATCCGGCCCATGTTTATAGAGCAGGGAAAGAGACGTTTTTTTAATATATATAGAAAAAAAAAATTAACTCTTAGAATTCCTATTTACGGTAGTTGGCAATTCACCGATCAGAAACAAGTCACTAAAAAATCATCTGCCACAGAGGTCTGGCACTATAACCGTATAACGGGCCTTCTTTAGTTTATGTATCGTGGATGTTTGCACTCGAATCCACGTGACAAACTGGGTATATCAGTTCTTCTTCTCTGGAATGGATCACTGTCCGGGCTCTCACCCTCGGAAAAGAAAAGAAAGGTGGAGGGACTCCAGCCGTACACAATGCAGTGCCGAAGAAAAAGCAAGCACCTGACCCAGCTTGTATCATCGAGTGTTGGCCCATGGAGCATAGCTTTGGAATCAGCTAAGCTGCCTCGATGTTTAACGCTCCCAACGCAACATATGATTCCATCAAGGTCGTTAGCAGGTCATTAAATATGGACCTGAAGATAGATTCACAGACTTGATTTTTTTTTTATTCTTCATTTGCAGTATTTTTATTTTTAATATATATGACCCAGCGGAATCGGTTGAGTTTAGTCCATGAACTGTCCGATTCAATTATAAATTCAACTCAATTTAGGACTCATTCACCAAATTATTAGGTTAACCCACATGGCCATAAGAGTAGACAACTGTCAATTGTCGTCCTGAAAATTGCTGGGTTTGAATGAATTCAAACCCTTGCTAGCTTAAACCTACGCATTTCATTCTGAGTTGTTGACTTCTCTAAGAAAGTCAGGGACCTTCGAGGAAGTGCAGCGAAAATTAATCCTACATTGTCAACCATTTTATTATCAGTTGTTCCCATTGAAGGTGCATTACGAATTCGATAGAATGAACTTGGATATGCGTCACTGGTATTTTATCTTCAAGTGACAACAATGGCAGTTGAAGGTGGATAAAGGCGAGGCCCCCAGCTACGGTCCATGGCCTCACTAACAGATTCTCGCCATCATTGAAAAACCTCAGGAACCATGTGCTTTAGCCGGTTACTGTAGCACGCGGAGGAGGTCCAAAGGAATCGAGGGACCCCATTTGTGTCTCCCTTAGCCATCATAGCAGGTGCCCCGAATAATGACGCAAGTTACCTTTTCAAATTCACACCCCAATCTCCATCCCTTTTTCATAATTTCTCAGCAGAACAGAATTTATCATTGATTTACGAACGATGTAACAAAACAAGAACTCCACATATGAAAGGTGAAACATCAAATTGATATGCTACATACTTGTTTAGGCAAATGCTAGGTTAAGCTAAAAGCCAGAAATCTTTGTGACGCTTTGTGGTAATCAAGTAACCTCCATGTTTTTGGCTTTTCCTCCTCACAGCAATTGCCATGCAATCAGCATTTTGGATACAGTATTCCACCACACCACCGGTGACTCTATTGCTTGCCCACATCATGACCAGCCGCCATGTCATGGACCTCCTTTTCTGCCCCAAAACTAGAAGTGCCACCTCTTGTTTCTTGGCCTCTTCCACTATCAATGGTCCTTTCTCTTTTCCTTCCACCACCGCAATCTCAATTTGTATCTGCAGTACGCCACATTGTATACATACATAAAAAAGGCAAAAAAAGCTAGAAAAATTGAATTAATCATACCCACCTCAGGTCTCTTCAACTGGCACATATTTTTCACAGAATTTACAAGTTCACAGGCCCTAGGAGCTCCTCTCTCCCTGCGGGTTTTTGTCCCTGTGGCTGCAGTCAAATGTTAAACCCTTCTACGTTTAATTGTCTAAAAGTACATCTAATAATCCCATGAAGATTTAAAAAATAATAATAATAACACCATGCAGACCAACCTTGCTTAGAAGATTCTTTAGTTACATGAAGAAGAATAAGAAGATCATGGCTTTGAACAGTGTGAGAGAGTGCCCATTGTAAAGCTCCCTGTGCTTCAATACTTGAATCAACCACTATCATGATTTTCCTACCGATTAACTCCACAGTTTTTCCCTCCGAATTCCCAGGTTTCTCCTGATCTCCAACAACACTGTCAGTATCCTCATTGTTTTGATCAGTTTTAGAAGAATTCAGATTAGGCTTGGCTTGTATAGGTGGTGAGCGGACTCTAACACGAGGCCTGATCCTGTTTAGACAGAAACCAGGTAATCTTGTGTCTATCTTGCCCATCTCCTGAGATGGGGTGTTAAGAAGACACCAGTTACTAATTACAAGAAGAAGAAGATTGTGCCAATCTTGGCCAATTGCCCGTTGCTGAACCAAATGGCTATAATCTATGCTATACTTTTCCTTCTTTTATACATTTCTTTTGTTACTTGATCATGTTGGTCCTTCGTTTATTTTATTTTTCACCCGTGGGGCTATTCAGGAACGTGCTTGTCATGAAGCTGTAGACCCTTTGCTCTCAAATTTGACCAGCTTGCTATTTATGCAATATATTTCACAATATATGTGGTTTGTTTATTGTTAATGCAAGCAATCAAATGTTTTTGCTAGTTATGTGCTTTCCATTCTTTTTTCCAACCCTAATGTTTCATAATATCATCCTAGTGTCTTGGCACTATCGTTACATGATCATATGGGCATGCGTTGATCAAATCAAATGAAAGAATTTTGTATTATATACGGGGGGCATGATACTGCTGCGCTGTTGCCCGCTGGAATATTAATGTGGTCTTTCTTGATAGCAAGCAAACTGGCTCTTGAACTATATACATACGATACCGTCCTCTTAGGTAATTATTATGAGCATTGCTCATCAGGTTAGATCATGGTAATTATTATGCCAAGGATACTAAAGAGTCCGTCACCGACCTGAGGCAATGATCAACAAAAAGACGGGTACATATTTAGGTAGCTGGGGACAAGATTGATGCAAGGTTCTGTTTTATGTAATATATATACCAAACTTGCCTCAAACGCTAACTGCTAGAGCTCCATCATTTCACAGAACATCGATGCATTATGAACTCATGAATCAAGCTCATGATGCAGTTTTGCAAGGTAAAACATTGTTTACCTTAGATCGAATATTAGAAGATGAATTAAAGAGGAGCCCTGGGACATGCATAGGCTTACTTTTCAAAGTTGACAAAAGTCTTGCATTTTTTCTCTCGAGCAAGCTTCAACCACCCTCACTAACTTTGTTAAGTCAATTAGACGGGGTCAGGAGTCCTTTCAACCCTTTCATTATATTGCATGTGTGCTTGTAGGATAATATCTGGAGTGGCATAGTTTTCATTTTTTGTTTCTTCCAGTGTCTATGGTTAATTGTCAAAGTTTTCTACCATTAAAATAGGAATTTTAGCTAATAATTATCGGTGCAAAATTGCAAATACTCTTGTCTGTCTTTTGCTTTGTTATCTCGATGCCTTGCTGAATCCATTGCCCTTTGTCCTAATTTATTTACTTACAATTCTGTGCAGATATTATTTATGATCTATCATGGCTGACACACCTTGCTCGAGTGCTTGACATTCTATTGAATCAAATGAAAGCATATACTCAGGCTCGGAAAGAAAGTTGTGGATGCCCTTTACAAGATGCTAAACACGTTGAAAATAAATTAGATTTCAGTTTTGAAAAAAAGAAAAAAAACTGATCTACCAGTTAAGAACCAATCAATCAACTAGAATAAGTTAAATTGATGGATCGATTCAGTTCGGCATAATAAGATTGAGTTTTGCTTTAAAGCTACAATTATATTCTACTCAAGGAAATAGTGGGGCTTGGCCACGTATCGTATACTCATCCGTGAACAAATTAGTTGGACCAATAGGGTGGTGTGTTAATATAATATGCATATACAATTTTATAAACACCAAACTGACTGTATTTGGTGATTAAATTAAATGTGCCTGAGATATGATATCAAGGCTGTGATCTCTCATCTTGGGGCTGAGGTCGTGCTTACACTCGGAGAAGGTGACTCAGGTGTCGGTTTTCTCGCCTAACAATTGGGTCCTTTATAGTTTGAGCTTGAGCATGGATATGATCTATGAAGTTGGTGAGGTGGGCCTGGCCTGGCGTATTGCTGTTTTGTAGTAGCTAGGTTTTGGGCTCCTAATCCCGCCGGAGAAGGCCCAGGGTTTAGGAGGGCATCATGGGCGAGTACCCTTGGCCCAAATCATATAAATGTCCATTGCTACAAAAGGTCAACATCTAGTATTCTTTAGATCCCCAAATAAGATGGTTGATTGTTGGTGTCCAAGAAAACCGTCATCTTGAATCCTTTTCTTAAGATTTTTAAAAGTAATTTTTATATATAAAAAAAATTAATTTTTTTATTTTTATTTTAGTATCAACACATTAAATTTCATAAAAATATTAAAGAAACATCAATTTTTTTACTCTTTCATTTTTATGGATCTGATTTATTTCTTTTCTTTTTTACTTCTTGTTTCTCTCACTGCTCGTTATTTAATTTTTGTTATCTTATTTCATTTAGTTTATGAATTATATACAATATTTTATGTATTTCTATTGCTTTGTTTGACCTTTTTGCTTTTCAATGATTGATTTTTTTCCTCTTATCTACAAGGATATTCTCAGACAAATTCTGCACATCAATGGTTAATATCTTTTTTTGAAGTGAGCCCTGTATATATTGTCCACCAGTGCACTCATGAAAAAATATTTTATATATTTATTATCATATAACTTATTTTAAATTAATAAAAACACAATTTGTTTGTGTCATATGTTTTTTATCGTTATAATTTTGTTCGATGTAGTCTCTGATAGATATATGACTGCAATTTTCTTTCCATTTTTTTTTCCTTAAAATAACACGTAACAGGTTAATATCCTGTAGAATTTTAGGATAGCATATTTACAGAATCATACCAATCATAATTTCCCGCATGCACATGCATACATTTCCTCGTGATTACTTGCCACCATTGGTCCTCTAAATTCTGCCTATGGCTTTGCTAAGCAGCTAAGAGCACCAACTTACATATCCTTTTCTTGCTTTACACCAAGTGTAACTGCTTGGTGAAAGCTGGTGGATATGTGAACGATGGTTCTTGAGTCTGATTCTCTCTAGCAACTGGATTTTCTCTGGCAATGGCGGTGATCATGTGATGTTGAGGTGACCTTGGCGGAGACGCGTAGAGGGCAGAGGCCTCGAGTATTTCTCGCCGAGTGTTTTCGTGCTCTTGGGACATTCTTTGTGCACGCAATGCTGTCAAGTATAATCCAGAAGCAAAGAAGACTGTTAACAATGCAAAGATTCCTGCAGCAGAGAACAAGCCTTCTTTAATGATGAGGCAGTTCGGCCTTGGTCTAGACCAATTCTTCAAATGCCCTGACTCCACACCCAGCCCTATTAACAACAAGATTTCTCCAACAGCAAAGCATATCCTGTTAAAAATCGTGTTCATCAATGGTTTACATAATTAGCAAAAGTTAAGATGACTGATAATTGCAAAACTTGAAGCACAAATTGGCTGATCATACCAGGTTGTGACAAAGAAAAATCCTGCCTGCCTTGTGATGCTCTTGGCACAAGCAGAATTAGTGTCACACGCAACTAGAGCCGGAGGCGGTGCTTTGCTCACTGCAATTAACATGTACATATGTTCCACCACCATGGCAACTGCCAGTCCTACAAATGCAATAGCAGAACACAAAAATGGTGTCCTGCCACTGCCAGTATATATACATTGAGAATCCTCACCATTTTCTTTACCATCAGAGTTCACCCATGACAACTACAAAATCATACCCCACGGGGTTAAATGTCAAATATCGCTCTCAAGGAATGTGCAGTGCAAAGATATCTTCATTAAGGGTTACCTGGGAACGAGTGGCTTCAGCTATAAGGCAAAGAATGAAGCAAAATAGGCCACAAGCTATGGTAAAAACCACGAGGAAGGCAGCTGTTTTGCTACCCAAATCCGTACTTCCAGGACTTGGTGCAAGATCGGCATGTGTGACTGCTCTTGTTTTTGGCATGGTTGATTCCAAGATGATTGCAATTCATGCAGGTTCAAGAGGATGAAGAAGAAAATAAGAACTACATTTTTGAAATTTATTTCATAAAAAGGACAGTAGAATGCAGAATAGCTTGGAGCAAAGGTTGCTTAAATGCCAAAGATTCTCAGGTTCTGGCCTTTAGTGTTAAGTATTCACACAAGAATAGTTGGCTCTAAAAGATTTTGCTTTAAAGCTAATTAAATTCTGCTCGATAAAAAATAAGGGCCTTTGCTAATTCTCCCCTTTGAGTCTTCTTTAGCCCAAAGTGCATTTATCCGCTCTTCTTTTCTAGACCTTTGGCTCAAGGTGGATTTCGGTGTTCTGTTGTTATATTTATGCAGCTCATCCAGAGCCGGTGTGAAACACTTCCAGCGTCGAAAAGTTTTTAATGAACATATCAGATGCAAAATGAGGTTTTTAATTATAGTTCAAACGGAAGGAGTAGTCCTTAATGAGCATATCAGATGCAAAATGATGCTGGCATATTGTACAGTTCATTACTATAAAGTAGTCCTTAAAGATAGTATGCGATGTACAAACCATGAAGGGATGGTTATGCGTGACAAAGAAAAATGAAAAAGAAATAAATAGACGGCTAATATATATTCGTGGTCCCTAAACTATTGAGGGTTGACATCGCAAGGTTTCTTATTGTAAACATCAAAGTAGAAGAAGTATCTTGCTGGCTGGAAAAAACCACAGAAGTGGAAGGAACAGATGACAGTAGACGGATGTAGAGAAATTTGGACGGCTGTTTCGGCCCTATAATTTGGTTAGAGTACTACCCTTTGTCAGACCCCTGGACCAGTATAACGGGGAAGAGTCCAGTGATTCTGAAATCACCAGAAATCGGTGAGTCAAAAGGATTGTATAATTGACTCGAAGTGGAATCTGCACGTTTTCTTTTGATTCAAATTCCTTTCATAAAAAGATGGTGCTTAATCACATTCAACTTGTCAACGTATGCACTTCCCATGGCGTTTCCCGTTATGTTGTTTTCATTTGCTCACAAACGGCAGAAATTGAATAGCCCTTCACGATTGTTCAACAAAACATCTTTTCAACAATCAACTATGAAGTGCATGTTAAAAGAGCACCCTGTCAGTACTCTCTGAGAACTTTCAGCGCCAAGAAACGACGGCTGGATAATTGCCTTGGTGCATCTTCATTTGCGTAACTCGGAAGATAAAGGAGACTTATTCCATGGGTAAGAATTTTTAATTGGAGATTCTTTCTGCACCCCGCAAATATGGCTTCTCCATCGCCCCCCACTTATTTCCATCATATTCCTTTATCAGCTTCCCATGGATTTTTTTTTATATATCATCAATTCATGTATACAACTTGAAAACACTCACCAATCTTGATTGCCTAACCAGTCCCACAGTCCTCCTCCATTTCAAGTCCGCATCCTGGAGGAGATGTCTTCTGAGAAAGCCAATGCTGGTGATCTCAATGCTTCCACCAGGAACAAACAAGCTATTCTTCCAAACAAAACGCCTAGCACAAGCAACTCTAATTTTGAGAAAGTACTTGCACAGAGAGCACTTTTTGGATCGAGGAGTTATCGCACTAAGGGAAGAAAAATCAAGAACAATGGTGCTAACTTGTTGCCGAGCAGGCTAAGCAAGGTTTCTTTGGCTGATGATTCGTCCGCCTAAGGTATATCTGTATATGTACTGTACTGTTTAGATTGTAGAAATATCTACTGTAGGGATACAGAAGCACTAGATTGTATGGTGATGCGTAGAAAAGAAAAACACAACGTATAATATCGTAAGATCTCAAACATGTGTAAAGCAGGTGTTGTGGTGTACAGTAAAAAATAATAATAAAGGAAATTATCACAATAAGAACAGGATCAGATCACTCTAAATACACGGAACTTTAAGCAGTTCGGAAAGACATCTAACTTGCTCTTACCAAAAGAAAGTTTTACGACGGGTATATCATCACCAGCATGGCTTGCAGTGTGAATTAAAAAAAAAAAAAATTGGTGCAAAATTTTATGTTCAATTGTTGTAAAATTATGCAAGTACGTAAAGCATATGGGAAAGCAAGATTTTGGTTCCCTTGTGGCCTCATCGAGTAAACCTGTATTTGCATATTTAACTGTTCAGATGTAACCAACTTTACCAACATAAGCAACAAAGGGAATAGGGAAACAAGGTCAAATTTATGATGTTAACACTGTCGATGAAAATAATTGCAACGATCAACCAAGAAAGTGAATCATCAAAAAACAAAATGAAAGCAGCATGCAAGGCATCTGCAATAATTAGACGAATAATCGGGGATGCAAATTAGGCATGGATTTGAAGGAACATGACTTCTTATTAAAAATATTCTCAACACATGAAACATAAAAGCTTCTCGTGTCCAAATAATCAAGTTCGTAGATCCATACCTGTGCTCAAGTATTCTGAACCCAGAGATATTTAATTTCCTAATTTTCCAGCGAATAAAGTTTCATTTGGTTGTGAAGTTCGAGAATAAAACAATGATCAGAAAATACCTCAAAATCGAATCAGAAGGGATACAAATAGAAGCCTTTTTTCATAGACGGGGCTTTTGGAAATGGGGAGATCCAAATATTTTGTAGGAATTCACTCTAGCACATACTCAACTTGCTTAAGAATGCCATGATTTTAAGATGAAGAAATGGATTTCTTTCGCAGGCTTGACTAATCATGAGATGTGGCTGTGGACATGCTACATCCTCAACGAATGTAAAAACCCTTCATCAATGCATAGATGTTTTCTCGAGAGTAATCAAATTTTTGCAATATAAAATTTGGAAGAATAAATGATGAACTGTTTTTAGAAACGAACACCAACAAGTGTGATCTGATTGTTTCTACCAAAACTACCATCTCCAGTATCCTAATCTACAAGTATCCTAGAGTAGTGCCATTCATTTGATCGCTTCTTGTCACTGGACAATCTGATGCATCATGTCCAAAATGCCCACAGCAAGGACCAGAATGATGCCTTCTTCTTCTAGAAATATCAACTCCAACTCTGGGCAGTCTATCTTTTAGCTTTGCTAGAGTGATTGGATCATCAGGATTCTCAATAGTAAAGTTAGCTATTCCACGAGAATCTTCTACCTCTGGTAAAATCAGGGAGTCTGGTGGGCAGTTGTAAGCACTTTCACCGTGTGTCTGTCGAGGAAGGTCCCTAATATGTGATAATACCAAGGAAATTTGCTCACAAGCAACATCAAGGCGTTCGTCTGTTTCAACCGATTCTGCCATAAGTGTAGAAGCCATGGATTCCAGCGACTGGATTTTCTCAGAATGCATCCTTGAACTGTAAGATGAACTAACACACTGCCATCGAATGGGCAGATAGTTATCTGGTATTTGGAAACAGTTATTGGTTGACAGAACACGGAGAACATGTCTACAGAGGATGCCTGAATATTCAAACCAACTGCAGCTACAGCTGATATGCCCTTGACAAGAATCCCAAATGACTTTGCAGCCACCACTAATCTGAGTATGGTGTCTGACTTGAAAACAATATTCATCTACTGGAAAAGATGCATACTGTGGAGCTAACACAAGCTCTTCCTGGAATTTACCTAAGGCATATGGAGTAAGAACAGAAGCTGCATGCGATTCAATGGGTGAACCTGTTTTCAGGTAAACTTTATGCAGCTTTTGTGGCAACTCTGGCTTGAAATCAACAATATCAGCCAGCTGCAAAGGCAATAATAGACAAGTTAGGCTATCGAAATTAATAAAAGGAAAGGAAACAGAAGATAATGTACTCACTTCCTCTACAAAATAATCTAGCCGAGACTGTGCACTCAAAAATTGCTGAATGAAAGCAGTAATTGAGCCAGACTGATAGATATCCGTCGTTCCTCCAAAGAAGTAATTCCTCAAAAATGACAATGCCCAAAATGAACGAAATGCATACAAACTAGTTATGTGCTTATTTGCATGGAGCTCATATTTCTCAACCATTTCATTCCATCCTTCCTCAAAATCTTGTACAGATTCCAGATTGTATAGTCGGAGAAACTCAGCTTTCCAGTCATCATAACATGATCCAAGCAGTATAGAAAACCAATCTGAGAACTTTGAAATGATGTGCCATATGCAAAAGGCATGTTTAGTGTCAGGCATTTCAATAGCAATAGCCTCTTTCAACCACATGTTCTGGTCAGTTAATATGGTTTGGGGAGCCTTTCCATTCATGAAGTTCACAAATGCCTACATAAACATCAGGAATATTAGGTACATCTCAAAACCAAGAAATAATCAGAACTTCACGAGAAAAAGGGCAGAAAGGACACTGTGATTATAAGGGCAGCATAATGGCTGAGTCATCTATAATTGATCATGAATGTAGCCCACAGAGGATCTCATCAAAATCTAATAGGTAATGCATCAAAATGCAAAGTGAGTTGGAGCAGACATTCCTAAACAAAATCACATGAGAATTCTTTCTCTTGTCTTTAAAGCTTTATTTGGCATCTCAGTCAAAAGTAAGCTCTATATTGGAAGGTAAGCCAAGATGAAAAAGCTTATGATTCTGAGATATCCACTTGGCTCTCATATGACAAGCTAGTAACTGGGCTATATATATATATATATATATATATATATATATATATATAAAAGGCCATCCTCAGATCACCAGATACATACCTTCAATGCCCAAGAAAAAGATTCCATATTTTCTTCACGCAGAAGTACACAACTGAAAAAACAAGTCATCCCGTGATTATCTACTCCAACCCAAATGCCTAACCACATATCATAGGCATCCAGATGCTGGGTTGTGTCAAAAACCACTGCATCACCAAATGCCTCATATAATCGAACAGATGAAGCAGAAGACCATGCAATATGCTCTAGCCTGTTGTTGCAATCAATTTTGAAATCATATTTGAAGTTGTGATCTTCATCTTTCAGTTTCTTGCACATTGCAATAAGATCAATCGCATCATTGTCTTGATTAAAATTTCTGAAAGAAAGTAGTAGGTTTCTCACATCTATTTCTGTAAATGGCAAGCATCCCAGTTTCACACCTTTCTCTAGCTCCATTAATCGTAACATCTGTCGCACCGACA